CCACTCGTCAGAGAAATTATTACTGAGAACAGGAGAGGGAGCGCTCCGTTCTGGGAGTGCTCATCAGAGTACACGTTTTCATTTATACAATTAGCAGTTATAGGGCATATAACATCCCATGGTGTCTGTGTGTTGGTTTTTGAGAATGTGTTTGACAGTGGAACAAGAACAATCATTCCTAAAGGTATCTCCCATGTGTGTTAAAATTATACAAAAGTCTGACATAAATATGACTTTGGAGGTGATATTGGTCCCTGCCATGCAGAGACGTAGAAAGCAGGGAAATGGACAACAAGATTCCTTGTTGATTAAAAGAAAGAAGTATTAAGCACCTAGCTTAACATGTGCCAGGCATTTTGTTAGATGGAGAAATATCCAAATGTTCTTGTTTGTAGATGATATTTAATTACATTGAGCCCTGGGATGAGGCTGTCATCTTGAAATCAGCAGTGATTCAGAAGAGAGGTGTTACCATCCACATCAAAAACAAACTGGAGCACAAGCCTTTGTTGGCCAGATGACACGTAACTGGCGGGTGCCCATTGAATTAATCCATGTATGTGTATCCTGGACTGGCAGTGCACGTGGACAGGCAAGCGGGCCCCAGATGCTAAGACAGAAGACTGGGTGGTCCTGGGACATCAGATAGTGCTTTCAGTGATCTTAAGCTGCTTATTGCTGCACAGCCCTGTCGTTTAATTTCCATTTTTTCCCATTCTATGTGGTTGCAAACTATGGAACACCGTGGTCTCAAAAGAGCCAATTGCAGGTGGCTCACTCCAAAAGGCAGTGGAAAGATGAGACTTGGCAGAGAGAAGTGGGTTGCAACATGTTGATGTCACACAAGAAACCACCTAAGACATCAAGGGCACATACAGCCAGGAAGGGAAGTGGGTCAGCCAGTGATGTGCAGATAATTGGATCCAACCATTGGAACAAGAAGGTGGCCTCCACGGCATTGGAGGGGTTCATCAGGACCATCTGTATAGCAGGCACTCAGTCAGGAGCCCTTTTCACTGGGTCCAGAGAGATTGGGGAACTGTCCTGAGGCCACAGAACCAGAAGTTAACCCTTTTAAAAATCTTTTTATTTAGCCAGTGTTGGTTTCCAAACAATAATTGGTATCTTTTGATGAAAACATAGGCAACTGTTAGTTTCCCTTTCATAAATACTGTCATTCATGTAGCTGGGAGTTTGTCTTTCAGAATTGTCCTTAATAGAAATCGATACAATAGGAATGCAGGCCTCAGGGGCATTTCCTTAGTACTGCCTAACTGCCTTTCCACACATTGTTAGAAATGTGACCATTTTCTTTTTGGGGAGAGAAAAAGCAAACTTATTCCTTTGCATCCGAAAACATTTCAGAATGTTTTTTTTTTCCCCCTTACATGTGTGCATCTTCACACTGGTAGAAAGATGTACAACAGTTAGCAGAATGAGAAGTTGTGGCATGTTAATGAGTGGTATTAATTGTGAAGGAAATACCCATATCTCCTGGGATGAAGGCAATACCTGCATCACCTGAGAACAGAAACTAAATTAGTTTCAGTTTTTGTTTTGTAAATTTTATAATGTATGCTTGCCTTGGCATATCACAAGTCTTCTTAGCAAGTTATAGTTTCTGTATAGGGATTCGCACAGTTTTAAATCAGTGCTGTCTGGAGTGTTTTTGTTTAAAGCCGGTTGTCATAAAGCCGGAAGTCATAAAGAATGACTTCCTACTTGAAAGGAAATCTCACGACTTTTGTAGCAGAAATGAATTTGCCAGACTCAGAAATCATGAAAAACTATGTAGCTGTCTGCTGTTGGAAATTAATTTGTCCTTGTATATTATACTAAACTGGTTTTTTTCTTTGTCCACAGTAGGATTGAGAACTGACATTGAGTTTCTTTGACAAATTCACTTTTCATTTGTTTATATTGCTTTTAGTTGAATCTTTATTTTAGCTAGACTACTGAAAAGTTCTCAGCTGATTTCATGTCTTGAAGCATCGTGGCCCCTGTGGTATAGGTTGGCATTTAGAGAATATTTTTACTCATTAGAAGTTAGAGTGTTTTTGTTTTTGTTTTTATGGTGGAGGTAGATTCCAGACTACATACATTCATCCTTTCAAATAAATTTTGAAGCTATATTCAGGTGTACAATTTCTAGAAAGTTTGATGCCATGGAAACTCAGGGTGGTGGCAATGACTATTGGGACAAAAATTGTATGGTTAAGTACTTTTCTTTCTTTCTTTCTTTTTTTTTAACCAGCCTTAACAGATTTAAAATCATGTTTAGTTAGGAACTCCCAATTGCGTTTGAAAATTCTTTGCTTGTAAAATTTTGTAAGTATAGTTTAGACCTTCCAATTAGTAAATTTGAAATCATTTTAGCATATAAGTTGATGAAAACCATTAAGTTTAATCAAATGCTATGCCAGCCTTTGAGGCAAGCAAGGTAATTTGCAATTTTGATAATTATTTCATTATCATTGGTTTCTTTTGGAATCCTAAGTATGACTATGACATTAAAAAAGGTTAAGAATCCATAGTCTCTAGTGTATTCAGCTGTTAAACCTAGGCATTTGAGGTCTAGTCAGGAAGACACGACATCTATACACAGTTTTGCTGCTATTAGTATAAAGCAGTTCATCATATTTACCACTGGATGTGTGAGTGAATGTGTGACAATGGTCTTGTCTAGTAAAGAGAGGAAATCAGAGATCCAGAGAAAGACACTGAATTCTCCCATCTCAATTGTGAAAATGGCAGTACCCTTGGGGGGCAGGATTGTATTAACCTATTAAGGCTTCTGTATAGATGAACCTGGTAGTAAGTGAGAGGCAGCCTCACCTAATGGGAGCCAACTAAAATAAGGCAGGCTTGGGTTTGAGGCCCGCCTTTGATATGGCCTGTCTTAGTGATCCTGTTAGTAGCCCCAGTGCTCCCTCGGAACCCTCGAAAGACCAGAAGGGATAAAACAAGCACTGACTTTCTTGCATGGGGAGCTGTGTTCAGTGGAAACTCCCTAAACCGGGAGTTTTTAAAAAATTTATTTAAAGGCTGAAAGGCACCATGGTAGAATGGCTAGAGTGCCGACTGGCACCCTGGGGTATTAATGTTGGCTCAGACGTTGAATAACCATGGCATGTCATAGGCCCACAACTCACTGGCCTTTCTTTGTCTTGGTTTCCTCATCAGTTCAATAGCATTGATAGCATGTCCTTTAATGGGTTGTTGTGAAGATCAGAAGAGATGATATGTATTAAAGCACTTTAGGAACCATAAAATTCCACACAAATTCAGATGGTGTCTATATCTGTATACATGTGTGTCACTTTAAGGTTCCTCAACTACATTAATATGTATTATCTCATTGTGACTCTTACTGTGTCTATATTGTAGATTATATAAAATCTCCCCATTGATTGCACTTGATTGAGGCCTAGGTGGCTGTTATGCCTTTAGAATAATAGCTTTGTGTTGTATCTTAGACTGTTTGGCTTTGAGTTACACCCACTCAGTGAAGAGAGCTGTGTGTTTCATTTAGGGAGCAGCCCTGGCCAAGTACAGAATCACAAGTTTGATACTGAACCCTCATTACTGAAACTTCAGAGTTCCTTTTGCTGAGCTGTTCTAGGTTTTTTGGCCTTTGGGGTAATGGGAGGATGGTGAGGGAACCTGGAAGAGCAAGCGTGGAAATGGTAGGTAGATGGAAGCAGGGCCTGGTTTTTTGTTTTTAATACCAGCAACATGGTGTGTTGGGTTGGTATTTCTCAGGCTTCCTGGGCCCCTAAATATTCCTCATTCAGTGTGTGCTCATTCACCTGAACTTAAGCTGCTTGATATGCCAAGCTTTGGATTTCTTTTTCTGCTGTGTGTATGAAAAATAGGGTCACAGTGCTTAAAATTTCTAGTCTTTAAAAGTTTTTTATCTTATTTTCATCAATACCACTTGCATATCATTTCTGATTATATCCCTCTCTTCTCTGTACATCAAAGCCCCTTGAGAAGCGGTCAGTCTTTGCTTTAAGTTGGGGTGGTGGGGTGTGCGCCCTCCTTCTGGGGAAGCTTTTACTTTGTGCATTGCCTTTGTTCCTCATTCTGCCTGCTGGGATCAGACTGAGCTGGGTTAACAGCCCCCAACTCAGTGACCACCAGAATGGGAGAACACTCTGAAACTCCAGTGATCCTGTCCTACCCCTGGTGAGGCTAAAAACCCCAGCATTAAGTCTTGAAACAAGGGCAAGTGCTTTTCTTTTTTTTCTGGGATTTTTATGTATCTTTCCCAGCAGCCGAAAAACCATTAATGTACAGACTGTTAGAGAAGGAAAATAAGATCATTCCTCCAATCCCTGAGCAAGTCGTCAGACGACAGGGAGAGCTGAGCAGCAGCCCATGCACTAAACTGCAGCCCTCCAACTTTAATTAGTCTTTAATTACTGTTCTGTGCCAGGGTTTATTAGTAAAAGCTAATAAGATTGAGGTAGAATACATGCCTAGATGTGAATTTTACAGTACTTTTTTTGTGAGCGTTGAAGAATTAAGCTTTTGTTGGTCAGGAAAAGGTATTGTGGTATATTTAATTTGCCCCCAAAACAAGTAAATTTACAGAATATATTTTGGTTAACCTTTCACAGTAACAAGTAAGAGGAGAAACGCTAAGTGGTGGCATCTTCATTTTAAGTCATTGGGTTCTTCCTTGATTGGGGGAGGGGGAGAGATGCCAGATTCAAAGAGAATGGGTTTCAAGGTGATCACCAAGCTGGAAGAGTGGCCAGAATAGTACACTTCAAAAGACTTGAGCCAATCTCACCTCACACACTTACTAGCCGTATTACCCTGGGCAAGTCACTTCACTTTGGGGACTCAGTGAGCAAGGGCTAGGTGACCTCAGGCTTCGTCCTGCTCTGAGTCTCTTGGTGGGTTAGCTGGACGGAATAGAGGTTACAATTCCTGCCCCCTGCTCTGTAGGCCAGAGCAAGCATCTTGCTTGACTTGCATCTGCTGTTTCTTAGGTCCCGTGGTAGTGCTGGCGGCCATGGTTCCCGGAGTCAGAAGGAGCTGCCGACAGAGCCCCCTTACACTGCCTATGTAGGAAATCTGCCTTTCAATACTGTTCAGGGAGACATAGACGCCATCTTCAAGGATCTCAGCGTAAGGAGCGTACGGCTAGTCAGAGATAAAGAAACGGATAAATTTAAAGGTGAGTACCAAGAAGCACGAATGCAGTCTGTTGGTGATGTTTTTGTGAAGTGATCCAGAAAGCTGATTTAGGGTCAGCCAGAGTTCTCTAAGCCTGACGGTATGTTTTGTTCCTTTGACTATGGCTGTATGCTTGCATACTGTGTGGTTTCATTTGAGGACCTACAGTGAATGCAGCTATTTAAGCATTTGTAAAAGAAATTTTCATTTATAGTCATGGTATTTGCCCCAAGTTTGACCTGTGTGGCGATCTTAAACAAATCAACACTTTTTAGAGAGTGGAACTTTTCAGAAAAATGATGCAATTTAGACCCTGCCACCAGGATCCTCCAGTTGTATTCATCTTAAGCCCAGCCCAGCTTCAAGGCCTAAGTCTGAGCTGCTTCCCAGCCATGGCTCGCGGCCCTACAGCTTGGGGTCTTTGGGACAAAGAAACTGGCACATTAACTGTAGGGTTGCTTTAAGAAAAGCCAGAATGGGAAGAAGTCAGGTGAGTGCTGTCCAGTACATAACCATTGGTGCCCTGAGTTGAAGGAGAACTTAACAGGTTATTCCCGAATGCACGGCCATGAAAACAGGATGTTGGACAGTGACAGGCATGATATTTCCCTTTTTAGCAGGTTATCCTAAGAGCGTTTTCCAAACCCAAATCAGTTTCTGCTCAGAGACCTTTATAGCTGGCAACCCTGCAGGTGTGGGGAGCAGCAGCAGGTCTGAATTCTAGTCTGTAGACATCATGGAATCCAGTAATAGATAAATCAGTGTGAAGAGCAAAAAAAAAAAGTCCAAAAAGATGCTTAGGGAGTGAATGGGTAGACAGAAGATCTTGCTGAACACCTGGAGGGATGAAGGCTGAAAAATTAAGGCATTTTTTGCATTGACATTCCTCTATTTAATTACAAAGCACCTTCTCACAAATGACCCTAAATCCACCCTCTTGAGGCCCTCAGGTCTGGCATGCTCTCCCTCCTCACCTTTTCATCTTCGATTTCTTGGGTTCCTTCAGATGCCATCTTCCCCAGGAAGCCTTTCCTGGACCTCTGACCCTCACTCGATAGCGTCTCTACCCTTATCTTATCTTACAGCTTCTCTTGCTCTGTCTGCTGTGTGCCTGGCTAGTTCTCCTGTTAAGCATAAGACTTTATGGAGAGCAGGACCTTCAATAAATGCTTCTTGACTTGTGTAGATGCTCGTTGTTATCAGTATATGTATGATGGATCATTGTCATATATCATTATATGTATATCAGTATTTATAGTCATTTTAGAGTTATATTCAGAATAGTTTGCATAGTTTACACACATCTACATAGATAAAAAAGCATCTTGTTAGTATCATGGGGACCCAAGGGTCAGCCCTTACCCAAAGCAGTAATCCTCTTTAAATACCGTGCCCCACCCTGTGAGGGGACACTGGTACCTAACGAGGTAGCCATCCCATTTGGGTGGTCCAGATTGTCAGGGAGCTGTGCCTGTTTACGTTGAGCTAAAATCTGACTCTGAGGTTCTCCCCATTGATATCCAGCTTTCTGGGGCAGATGTCTAGATGGCTTTTGGAAGCAGGTGCTCCTTTCAGCCTCGTGCAGCGGCTTGTTCCTGAGGCCGACATCCAGGCTTCAGGTTTGCCTCGTGTTCTTTTTTTTTTTTTTTTTTTTTTTTTGAAGGAACACATTGAGTCTGCTGTCCTTACCTCTCCTCCTTTTCATTGCTTCTCCCTCCTCACAGGTCATTTTAACACCACCAGAACATCCTCCCCCAGCTGCTACATCAGTATTCCTAAAACACCGTATCACTCCCTTGCTCAGGAGGCTTAAGTGCCTGCCTATTGTCTGTAGGATAAAATATTCCTCTGGTATTTAAAGCCTTTCATAATCTGACTTGTGCCTGTCCTGGCAGATTTATTTCAGGTACTCAACATTCCAGCCCAACAGAACATGATTGCTTTTGTGCCATTAGCTGCCCCTACGCCCTCACCATGCTCAGAGCGGTTTCTGGACTGACCTGAAGGGCCCCCCTCCTCCCTGCTCTTAGTTTGTGCTTCGAGGTGTAGATCCCTTGTTTACTTCGTCTGTGCACGTGCTCACCCTACCCATCCCTAGGAGAGCGGAGAGTGGAAGCTCTTTGAGGGCCAGATCTCTTTCCTTTTCTAAGTTGGTAACTTCAGACCTGAACTGGGCCTCACTTGGGTGGTGCTGCCCCATCTGGATTCCTCCTCCAGTGCCTCGTGAATGGGGGACAAGCCAGCAGAGTTTAGCCCAGCCCTGAGCAGAACCGCCAGCAATTGGTTAACCAGCCTTGGCTGGAAGACTCTGCTAAGGGCAGGGATAACTCTCACTGTCGAGAAGTTTTTCTTTGTGTCGGTCTCTTATGTGTCTCTCTTCAGCTTCCACCTGCAGCTCCTCATTTTTCCCTCAGTGACCAAGTCTTCTCTCTTGTAGCCCACAGCCCCTCATATCTCTGAAGAGACCTGTCTGAACCTTCCTGTGAGCTTTGTAGAATATGATCTCTTCACCCAGTCTGGTCGCTCTCCAGTTTATTAATGTTCTTCCTCCAAGGTGGCCAAGAAATGAATGATCACAGGTGACAGATTGTTAACTTATTTATTTTTTGGATCACAAACTCACAGCTGTCTATAGAGCTGTGGAGACGGAAAGTAGAAAAGCATCAGCTCAATAGCAGCTGCCACTGACAGTGCATTTTAAGGTTTGCAAAGCACTGTCTCATTTGAGTCTCCCGGCAGCCCTGGGAGACGGACACTAACCAGGTTGGAGGCTTTGTTTGTTTCTAAAGAAATCTGAGGCTTAGCTTGAGTGATTTCCAGTGGCCACACCAGTGTCAGAGGCAGGATTTGAACCCAGTAGAGTAGGCCTTAAGCCACAATTCAGCCATTTTCCTACCATTGGGCATGTAGATTGTTTCTAATTCTCTGCAATGACAAAAATAACTGTCACTTGGTGTTCGTTTTTGAGGTAATATTTTCTCAAAATTTTAACTCTAGAAGTGATCAAAGTATGAAAAAGAATAATCCATTAGAGCTTAGAATGATTAGAGACAGAGTAAGTCAGCCAGGCTCATGGAAGGTACCTTGACATGGGGGCTGGGCTGGTCACGGGGGAGGAATGTTCTTGCTCTGTTTGCCCAGACTCTAGAGACAATTGGATCCCATGACTCCAGGTTTGTGGAGTCAGATTCCTCTTCCAGGCTTCTTCTGTGCTAGTCTTTGGATCTTTTCAATTCTCCTAGTGCCTACCTTAGGGTACTACTCATATCACAATCAAATAGAGGGTTGGAAAGTGATGAATTGATCTTTCTCATCCAGGTGTGAGGGGTTCTTCTTGATAAACTCTTTAGTATTTTTCTGGCTCAATATTCTGAGGCTCTATCAGTTTTTATTCTCTTTTGCCATCAAGACTTCAATTTCTACTGGCAAACACAATCTCAACCTAAAATAAGCCACTCTTTCTGGTCTTCCTCTTAAAGTTGGAATATTATGTCCCAAATAATTAAGTCTAGACATAATAGTGCCTAGAGCTGTCAACATGTGACGGTGTAATACTTTTTTTGCATTTTTAATCTTTTTTAAAAAATTAAACCTTGTAAAAATATGTTCTGAGTTTCGAATTCTTTCTCTCTTGCCTCTCTCCCAGCCATTGAGAAAGCAAGCAGAGTGGTAGCTGTTATACAAGTCATACAAAACATTTCCATATTAGCCGTGTGAAAATGTAGTACTTTAATGATTTGAAGTGGATATTACAAGGGGAGGAAAGCAGTCTGCTCACATGGGGCTTTAAGTCCTCCTAGGTTGAAAAGAGGAAAGGTTACCTCTCCTACAGTTAATCTACAAATACTAGTATGAACTGGGGATTTCTCTTACAGGATTTTGCTATGTAGAATTCGATGAGGTGGATTCCCTTAAGGAAGCTTTGACCTATGATGGCGCGGTAAGTATATGTTCAGATTAATTTCTGCCAACTTAGTTTTCTAGTACTTTTTCTTGTGGTTACTTATACTATTTTTCTTCGTAACCAGCTGTTGGGTGATCGATCACTTCGAGTGGACATTGCCGAAGGTAGAAAACAAGATAAAGGGGGCTTTGGATTCAGGAAAGGTGGACCAGATGACAGAGGTGATTCTTTAGAAACTAATTGTAAAAGCTTAAGTCGTATCGCACTGAGTCAGAATGTTTGTAGTCTGCTATTAAGGCGTTTCAATGCTTATTGAGCTCCTGTAATATACAGGAGGGATTAAAGCCTTTTTTGCTCAGTCAGTAAACATTAAGTGCTTGCTGTGTACCAGATGTAGGGCAGCTAGATGGCGCAGAGAATAGAGTGATGGCCTGGAGTCAGGAAGACCTGAAGGCCTCAAATACTAGCTGGATGACCCTGGGCAAGTCACTTCAGCCTGTTTGCCTCAGTGTCCTCGTCTGTCAAATGAGCTGGAAAAGGAATTGGCAAAGCACTCCAGTATCTCTGCCAAGAAAACCCCAAGGAATCATGGAGAGTTGAACATTCCTGAGAACGACTAAACAGCAACAGCTGTGCCAGGCAGTGTGTTAACCAATGGGGATACAAATACAAAGACAAAAGTCCCCTCCCTCAAAGAGCGCACAGTTTTTGAAGGAAGACAGTACTGGGGAGAGAAGTCCCCACGTAGTGCAGCAGGTGAGAAATGAGGAGACAACTGAGCTGGGGTCTTTCCTTAAATAGAAGTTTGGCATTCATGGCCCTGTCCTCCAATTGGGGCAGAGAGTGGGGGTGAGTCTGATGGGACTGTGCAGGTTGATGAAGTTATTCTGGAGCACGGGGAGAGGTCAGCTCATCCCAAAGGTAGTGCAGCAGGTGAGAGATGCCAAAGATCTCGGCCCTTCCCTGATCAGTCTCCAGGGATGGAGGCTGTCCCACAGAACCTGCCTGCAAGCAGGTTTACCCTGGCAGTCCTACCAATCAAGAAAGGCTTAGAGTTTGGGCACGGCCTGAGGACCAGGCTAGCCAAGCCTGGGGCAGCTCCTTCTTCCCTTCTTTGTTTCCAGATGTGGGCAGCCGCTTGTGTCAGAAAATCAAAGGTAGAATAAGACAGTTCAGCAAAACTAATGACCACAGCTCCTGAGTCTGGTGGTGTCGATGCAGGGCTCTCACCCCATCACCCCCAAGTCTTTAAAGAAGGGAAGGAAGAGCATTCACTCACGTCCTGGAAGTAGGAAGTAAATGGCCAGGCTTGGTCCTTGCAGTGATCAGCCAGTGCTCAGTTTCAGTGCTTTTCTTTATTGGCTGGGTTCTTCCCAATTTTAAAGTTTTCCAGTCAATACTCATTTAGGACAAATTTGTTTAGTTAGCTCTTCTCATACATTTTTTCTTTCTCTCTCCTCAGGAATGGGTGGTTCTCGAGAATCTAGAGGCGGATGGGATTCCCGGGATGACTTCAATTCTGGTATTAGATTTAAATTCTTACACTTACCCTGGTGCCTTTATTTCTGTCCTTTGCTCCTACGTCAATCAGTGATTGGCCCCTGTCATTGGTTCCTTGATGTGAGGGTGGGGAGAATGATGTCACGTGCTGCCACCACTGAGGTCTTTCTCAAAGCCCATCTGGAGCAAGCACCTGACTCTGGCTCCGTTCTAGTGCTGAGGAGGCAGTTAGCCAAATTGTTTTGTTTTTAAATAAATCCAGCCATCTCCACTTAGTAAAAGACTGAATAATTTCAGGGATTAAACCCTTCCCCCTCCCCCCCATAATCCCAGCCAATCAGAAATGAGCTTATTCACAAAAATGCAGAGTGATATAATAACCGTGTGCCAGAGCTTTTCTTCAAATGCAGCTGCTCAGGAATAGTTCAGAGGGGCTGCCTCTTCAGTGGCAGCTGCAGCAGAAATGCCTTTTTCCTGTTAGCCTGAGTTTTCATAGCTGATGGTTTTGAGGTTACTTTACTACCTCATAAAATTTCAGCATTTCCACTTATCGAATATATATGTAGCCCAGAGTCTTCCAAGGTAAGACTTACGTTATCTTGTTAGGGTTCTGGAGCTCAAAGAGACTTCAAAGAATTTAAGTGGAAAACCACTTAAGACACCACCCAAGCCACCCCCTAACACTGTAAGGGGGCCCTCTTGCCCCAGACAGTCTCCTCTATTGAACCGGAAGTCTCTCCTGCAACTGTCGCCCCCATCCTGTCCATATAACAGCCTTCTGTCATGCCCCCCCGCCTTTTCTAGGACTGACAGCCCCAGGTCATAGAGCAAATTCTTCAGTCATCACCATTCTGGAAACGTTCCACCTTGTGGGAGTCTTTCCTAGAGTGTGGTGTGCCCAGGATGAGCACAGTGGCCCACATTTGGCCACAAAGGTTAACAGGCCTATCTCCTTCCTATCCCTGGACGTTGTGCAACAGACTATTCAAAAAAATAACATGATGAGCTATTCTTGATGAATCTGCACGTTTTTATGATCACTGCTTCCCTTTCTAGACAGGTGTTCACTTAGAGACCCTTTAAAATAATACATTATAAAATCATACCAGAAAGAGAAGGGAAGCTTCCTGGCCTGTGGTTTTCAAAATCTTTGCTTGTGAAGGAGGCTCTACCTGGCTTCATGGAGCTGTCCATCAGCACTGGATCTGTTCTTAGTCCAAAAGATCTTCAGGGGAAGAGGCTTGTGTTCTCATTCCAGTGGCCACTCTCCTAACTGGCAGGACTGGCTCTTCAGTGTTTAACTCCTGAAGTGGACTCCTTTAGTGGTGTGCTGGTGACATTTAAGAAAATTAGCCACATTACCTTAATACCATGTTTCCTAAATTATTTTTGCTGAAGATTAAAGACATGCCAATTTCAGGCTACCTAGAAAATTAATGTTTTTAATGATGTTTGGTCCTTCTGTATGTCGGTGTTGGTTTTGTGATGTGTTCCAGGAGCATTTTAGGTCTCATGACACATCTTTCATATAGGAAGCACTTAATGTCTGACCTATAGAAGAAATTTGACTTCCACTCAAACATCCTCAAAACTGTCCCGACAATAAGTCTTTTCTGAAATGAAGCAAAGGGTGTAATGGAACATCTCAAAATTAGTTCTGTGACTTTCCTAACGGAAGGCTGTTTGTGGGCAAAGCATAAGGGGTGGTGGACTTGATCTGCCAAGCAGCTGTTTTTAAAAAACAAATGAGAAACCTAGAAACAATGCTTTGTGGCAGTGGTTTTCATGGTTTTTCCACACATTTCTGATCAAAGGGAAGGGTTTACCTGATCCATAAGCTTATGCAATAAATACTCTTCAGCTAGAGAACGGTTTACAAGGTTTTGCTGTGTATAGAGGGAATGTCACTTGAGGGTTTGTGGTGAAGCTTTTAATTTTGCTGTTAACTTTTTCCCAGTCAGTTTTCTAGATTCCCTTTCCTTTGAGGTTTATCCATGTTGAAACAACATAAGCCCTGCTTGGGGCCTCTCCTAGCCCTGTTCTCACTGCCGTAAGCTCAGGGAGGGTAGACAAGGTCTCTTTCAGGGCACCTCTGGCACTTTCCCTTTGCTCACAGATGGGTGATGGTAGGTGGAGTAGTCACTGATTGGAAGAAGCTTCAAATTGGTTATTTTACGGCAGCAGCGTAAGTAGAGAAATCCAGAGTTCTAGCTTTTGGAGATATCACTTAGATAAAGTTCCCTAGAGATCTAATATTAGACTGTTTTTGCTCTACATGGGTGCTCTGGCCTGGTGGATAGAGAGCCCACTTCTCACACATCCTTGGTGGCTTTGGGATCCGGGGCAAGTGGCTTAACTTCTTCTGGGCCCTAGGCCCTTGGGCTGCTGATTAAAATGCAATTGAGAAATGTTTAACGAAATAAGTAAAAATACAATACAACGTGGGTACTGTTCATTTGTGCTTTTCTAAGTCAACATGCAGCCCGTAGGGATCTGTTAGTGTTTGAGTTTGACCCCACTGCTCTAGGCGGCTCTTTAAGATAACCATGGTCACCAGGAGTGTGCTGACCTGCATAGGCAGAGGTAATTTTGTTTCCTTCCCTGGGATTTCTCTAGGCCATTCACAGGCCCTCAAATCCCCGGATGCACTTTAGTAACACAGAAGCTTGACTATAAAGATGCACTTAGGATGTGCTGGATCTGAGCAGCTGTTTGATGTTTCACTTCTCCCTTCTCCAGGCTTCAAGGATGACTTCTTGGGAGGCAGGGGTGGAGGCAGTCGCCCAGGTGACCGGCGAACAGGCGGTCCCCCAATGGGGAGTCGCTTTAGAGATGGACCACCTCTTCGGGGCTCTTCAATGGATTTCAGAGAACCAACAGAAGGTATAATGCTGGTGTGCAGATGGCAGACCTTGCTACGTGCAAGCACTAGCTCTTCCTAAGACCCACAGCTCTTAAAAGAATTGTCACTCCCTAGTCAGATTTGAGTTTGCCCTTTAATGGGAGAAGCACCTGCCTATTGGTTGCTCCCATGGAGCCATCTCGAGATCTGTAGTTCTGCTGTCAGTGAAGTGATCTGGCACCAGGCTGTCATTGTGGTCGTCATTTCCTGGCAGGGGAGTCATGCTTTATAAATGCTGTTGTATTTATTTTTCCAGAGGAAAGAGCACAGAGGCCCCGACTTCAGCTTAAACCTCGAACAGTTGCTACCCCCCTCAATCAAGTAGCCAATCCCAACTCGGCTATCTTCGGTGGAGCCAGGCCCCGAGAGGAAGTGGTTCACAAAGAGCAAGAATGAGCTCGAGGTTGGGAGGGAATGGGGGGAGAATGATTGAGCAAGACAGCAGCAGAGTTCATTACTCTGGACGTCAACCCTGCAGTTACCATTCCTGCCACCTGACATTTGTCCTCCTCCTTTCTTGAAACTGAAAACACAGAGCTTGTGAATGCATGTCAGCTGTTAACAAGTGGTTTTTAGTACGTTCTTGGCTTTGCTGTATCTAGTGCCTGTTTTGTGCTGTTTTTTTCCCACCGCCTTGGCCCTTTCCCTCCCTGTTTTCCTCTTTGTTTTCGCAGCACGTGGTTTCTTGCAGATGAATGAAAGCTGTCATTATCAGCAAGGGTGGGAGTTCCCGGGATGAGGTGCTGCTCCATTTCCCTCCTTAGCTTTCTCTGTTTTACTTTAGAAACACTGGTTAGACTTTGTTAAAACTCCAATATTGTTTCCTTTGGATTTTCCTCACTTCTCTTCTGACCTGCATGTTTGGTTCTGGGTTGCTGTGGCTCCAAAGAAGCAAATAGGAAAAAACTCCCCAACAGGTTGGACCATCTGTCGACCTACGTGTAGAATTGGGTGCCCTCTCCAAGGCGAGGGATCAAACACAAACAAAAGGTGTAGTCCTTCCAGCCAGTTCACAGGTAGTTTTCTTTCCCTCTCACTCCTCAATTCCTTCCCATAAACAGATGTAATGAGAGCAGAATAGGATCAAATTTAAAAGTATATGTCTATATAAAATGTGGAGAATGGGGACTATTACCCTAGAGAATTAATTGGCTTCACTCCCACAGGTCTGTCAGTTGTAGATCTGCCCGCACCTCAATCCTTACTAGGAAACTCCTTTTGTTAGGCAGATTAAAGGGTTGTTTATTGAACGACTGCAAACTGCAATCTGGTTTTATCTCAACGGAGGTGCTTTGGGGGCTTGCACAGCGGTGCGGATCTATGCCTATTTGAACATTAAAAAAATGCTCATTGAGTCTTTGCTTTTTAAAAAAAAATTACACTTTTTTTTTTTTAAAGTTTTACATGTTTGGTAAGTAACTTTTAAATGCAGGTTTATACAGATAAAGTTGATTTTGTGTTGTGTCGGAAGGAGTGTAAAACTTACTACCCTTGGCCACGTGTTTGGCATCTAGCCCCAGTATTTCTTTGTCCCCAAGTGTAAATAGTCAATAGTGAGATGCTGTACTCCCCATCATCATTTTTTAAAATGGGTCAGGAGAGCTGACCCTAGGATCTGGCGATGTCATGTCTCACTGAGATTCGTCAAGGACCTTGAAACATCTCGTGGGTAGCACTGAAGTTGAAGACCTGTACCTCTTAGAACCTGAAGGTTCATCGGGGGAGAGCTTGCTGTCCACTGGCAAAATATTCGGGAGAATAAAAGGCAAAGCTTAGGTTGGGCATCCCAGGAGCTAGAAGGAAGCCAGCAGAGTCAGGGTTTCTTGGGAAGCCTGGCCTCTTAGCTCAGTCCACTCCCACGGCACATTGTTGTTGCCTCCTGATTCCTGGCTCCGCTTCCTCCTGTCCTTGTTTCCAAGTTACAGCAATTTACAGGACCCTTCCTCCTCTTTCCTGCTTCCTTCCTTTCCTCCCTCCTTCCTTCCACCTGTCATACTCTGCTCCTAAGATAAGAAACCATTTGTGTAACACCAACACGTAATCTAAGAAAGACATGCATTATGTGGTTGTAATCAAAACGGATGCTTTCCGATGACCTACTTACATCTTCAATGTGGAAAAGATTAAGAACAGCAGCAACGAAGGCCCCAACTTCTGGTTAATCCAGTCGCATTTTAAATGTGAGAATGGAATTCCAAACACTTCAGCCATTCTGCTTCATGACAGAAAGTAAATTTATGGATATGGTATTTTGTGAATGATCTTTTAAATAAAAGAAAACCTTAAGTAATATTTTAATGCGGTCTTTATTTATAAGTCTCCCTCAGTGTTTCAGCTGCAAACCATGGATTATTGCTCCAACTTCTGTTAACTAGTTTTCATAACATTTGTTGTGATTTTTACTTTGACGTTGGAAAATGGCAGAAAACTTAATCAGACATGAATTAAAAAGCTAGCAACTAAATCAGAGCAAACATCTTATTTCAGCTTTTTGTCCACCCTCTCTGTCCCTTTTTTCTGAAGTTGGAAAAGAAGTTGTTTCTATCAGACAGAAACAGAACCCTCAGATGTAATCTGGCAGTAGCTTTGGGCTGGAAGATGGGGGGGTAGCAATAATTTTTTATCTGAGAAATTTTCGTGCTAGAAAGAAATTTCAAATCTGGCTTCGGGGGTGGGGGGAGGGAATCAAAGTCAAACTTGGGGATTGATCTGATTGTTTGCAACTGGTCACAAATAGATCAGCCTCCTGGAAGGTCCCACACATACATATATATATATATATATATATAAATCTAGCAGAATTATAGAGAACGTTCAGCCTTGTTCAAATGTCAAGTACAGGAAGCCTTCAGAAACTGCCTTCTAGCTGGGAGGCCTTGTAGAACTCGGGTGGTCCTCCTCCTGCAAAGATGCTTAGAAGGACATTAAAAGTTGATAGGCCTCGGGCTCACAGCAGGAAGGGACCTAGCACAAGATTTCACTTGGTGCACTTCCTGGAGGGATTTGTCCCACCGGTTGTCAGATTCCCCACCACCGTTTTTACCACTGCCGATTCCTTGACTGTACTTTCCTGGGAAGGTGAAAAGCTTTCTATCCCCTTTGAATGACTATACCCTAGTGAAAAGTGTTCTGTTTTGTTTTTTTAAATAAGGGGAAGAAGGACCCTTTCAACCTGATTGGTCATTCTTAAGGCAAAAACTTCCAATTCCCTTTAGTTATAAGATAACCAAGTTCAAGGCTCATAATGAACATACCTGATCTAGAGAGCTGCTTTCCTTGGCATAAGTTCTGTTTTCTAACAAGATCCTAGACTGAGCTGGAAAGCAATCTCAGGGGTCATCTGATCTTAGCTCCCCCTTGTTTGATAGGGATGGAAAATGAGGCCCAGAGAGAGGACGGGAACTGCCTATGGTCACAGTGGTACATGCAGCTTGAAGCAGCCTTTTGCCCCCCTAGAATGGATGGAAAGGTTTGGTCCCAGGAATCAGAATGCTGTTCTCTAGTTTAGTACCGGAAAACAAGTAGCCTCTGTCGAAAGATGAAATGCCAGCTATTTAGGAACCAGGGTCTGATACCCTAAAACCATTTTGTGTGGTTACTGTAATAAATGGGAGAAAGTTTTAGAAAAAGCCAAGGAATTGTGGTGAATGCAGAATTACGTGTCAACTGTGGAACTTGAGAGCTGGGGAGGAACACTTGGTCCAGAAGTCACATAGGTTGAGACCCTCATGTAGTCCAGTCTTCCAGGATTCCTAAGGGCTGGGAATGAGTCTGAAGCTCTTCCCCAGCTAGAGGGAAATTCCTTCCCTCTGACTTCTGTTTCTCAGTCCCTGAGTATAAGGAATGCATATACAATATTTTAGTAAAAGAAGCCTGCAGGTAATTCTGGCTTGTGAAACCCCTTGCTTATAAACTAAAGGATATTCATTTCTACTCAGATTTTTACATTGGAAAGTGACAAGGATTTTCATGGCACAACAACCAAAATCTTGGGGTGAAGATGAAAATTCTTAGGCTGTTTCATGCATGTGCCCCTCTCCCCCCAACATTTCCAATAACAGCAGTGGATTAAATTATAAATAGTTGCTCTTTCATTCTGATCTGCCAATCTGGAGCTGAAGGTGAAGCATCACTCGTTAATGGTTGAAGTTCTTTGAATAAATCTTAGGAACTTGACACTGGCCTTGTCTGCCTGACTGAAATCCCCCGCAGAGGCTACCCTAGTACTCTTTGGGCATTTGCCTTTTGGCCGTATTATTCTGGAGCAATGACAGACTTGAATTCCAGTTCCTAGTAGGAAGTTCTTAGAAGCTCTTTCCGAGCCCTAAAAGTGAGTGTTGTCTTCTAAAAGGTCTGAACTGGGGGGAGCACAGATGGGAGGAGGGGGGGGGAGGAAGTGTTTGATACATATGCATGGCAAGGAAGGAAGAAATCTGAAACCTTGACAAGAAGAATTCCAGGTGCTCCGTGTGGATCCTTTTAAAAGACCAGTCAGGCACTTCCAACTTGTTAACACTTGGGCCTCCCAGGGGTGGAAAAGGTACAGAAAGTCCTTTGGCAATTTCTTCCTTGGGACTAATTAAACCTCAAGGCCGATTAACAAGATCTTGAGAGAAGCAATAGCAACGAAGAGAAACTGGAGAACCCCAGACTCCCTTGGCTAGAAAGGAGAAGGATTTTTTCTTAGTTTAGTTGTTTTGTTTTTTTCCTTCACTTTGATAGCTGCTAAATTTGTAGCATGACAGGGCTGAATTTTGTACCTTGTACAGTTTCTAACTTCTTTAAAAGCCCTCTGCAATTTGGCATTGACACTTCCCTTTGAAATTTGATACTTTTTTTTCTTTTTTTTGGTGGTGGTAGTGGGGAAATCTGGACCTGTGATTGCATTGTTATGAGAATCTCTCCAGGGAGGAAACTTTATACCAGTGGAGTCTGGCATCTGCTCTGGAGTCTTTTAAGAGAGTTGCCTAGGGGCACTGAGGTTAAAGTACCCCCCCCATCCACTCCAACCACCACCAAGGTCACACTGCCCTTTTATATCAGAGGAACACTTGAACCCAGGACTACGCCCTGTCTCACCTCCCTTACCTCCAACTCCCTATTTGACAAAGGACTGTTGGGAAAGTTACCCTGGGACCAGAAATTACATATGCATTCCTTAGATTCATAGTTAGGGCCATAACAGAAACAGATGAGCTTGATCCTCAGGACTCAGAAGTGTTATGTATGTTGTTGGGTATATTCACACATTCCCACAGCCATCGAGCCAGACTTTAGAGAATTCCTCCCTCTGTACATTTACTTTGATGCATAGAAATAACTTCTCCAAATGATGCAAAGGACTGGTGGGTAGATGGGAAGAAGCTACCAGTGACACCTTCAGAGGATCTTTGAGCTTTTTTCTTTTCTGAATGGCATTGGCCAATTGAATGGGATCATAGATTCAGAAGCAGATGGGCCCTAGAAGCTTAGATAGCCAACTGAGTCCAACCTCATCTTTTACTGAAGGGAAACGGCCGAGAGTAATTGATTTTTTTTCCCAAGGTCACGGGTAGCAGAGCTAAGACCCAACCCCGAGTAGTCTTATTGCAAATCCAGTCTCTTGCTGCCGCGTTCCACCCCCTTAGAATCCCTAAGACTCTAGCGTGGTTGTCGGAAGACATTTGACTTAAGCCCAAACCGAAGACCAGTTGTGAAGTTTCTGTCTGGCATAGGAGTGGGAATCCTTTGTTTCTCACTATGTGAGGTTGGCAGGCTTTTATGTGTATTCCTAGCTTTTGTGTGGACATTGGAAATTAATTGAACCAAAATAAGTAGTTACGTACCTCATTCTATAACCTACTGCTAGTTTCTCTTCTGTAACCAACCTGTATAATTTATATCACTGTATTAAAAACAATAAAGCATAGTATCCCAACAGTAGAGGGCTCTTGGGTATTTAATTTGGGGAATAGAGAGAATTGGTTCCTATACTGCCTTTCTTCAAGGTAAGACATTTAAAAGGAAGAAATAACAATTACCAGCCCATTTATTTATGTGGCTGAAGGCAGAAGGTCCATATACTTCTTGTTTCTTTGTTTTTTTCTTCAGATAAAGCTTAGCTCTTAAGCACCAAGACTTTTATTTTGATGGTTTTCATCTCGTTCTTGTTCTAAAACAATTCTCATACTTCACTGCCCATTAAGAGATATAGAACATGGCAGTAACTTTCACTGGTGTCTCAGGGTTCTGTGACATGATTGGGGTCTGCATAGCTATGACCACAATGGTCTCTCTTGTTGCTTTCAAAGCCTGTGACTGTTTGTCCCTTGGCTAGTGCTTTCCCTCAGTATAAGTCTTACTATGTACATATTTATATGCCCCACCCCTAGTTAGGATATGAGCCTCCTTGTGGGCACAGGTGTTTCTGCCTTTCTTTGTATCCCCCAACCCTTAGCATGGTGCCTGACTCACAGTAGGCATTTAATAAAGGCTTATTGACTGACTGACTTTATGTGCCTTGAAGTCTTTTGTCAGGTTTTTGTAGTTTTTCTGTCTCCTACCTATAAGCTTCTAATCCTTTAACAATCTGTTAAGCAATCCTCAGCCTCTTCATCGAGATCATAATTGCAGAGCTGGAAGGAATCTTAGAAATCATTTAGTCTAATTTTGCAGATGTGAAAACTGAGACCCAGGGAGGTAATGTGTATCTTGGCGAGCATTACTCAAGTAGGATCTGAGGTGGGCTTCAAGCCCATGTCTTCTGATTCTGATTCCAGAGGTAGTGATGGTCCCAAGAAACCAGATGGCAGCAATGACTTCCCTTGAGACAGCATTTGCATTTTGCAAATGGCTTCCACTCCCATCTCGTTGGAATCTCCCATCTTGCCTAAGAGGAAGGATAGTACAATGGGATCTTCATTTTACAAACTAAGCAAGGCTCTGAGTCTTGAAATCAGGCCTTCTGAGGCAAGTAGTCACAGGCTCTGAGTGAGGACCTGAGGACCTTTCCTAACTATCAGTAAGCATCTGGGACTTTTCCTCTTCCCTTAAGGATTCACCATCATGTACCAGATGGAAGAGCTCTCTACTTGAGATAAATGGAGCTTCTTCCTGTCTTCGTGCCATCTTTAAATAGCATAATTCAGGGTGAGAGTCTAGAGATAATTTAGTCCAACCCTCTAATCTCTCACTAAGTATGATAAAAAGAATGTGTAAAAGCAGTCACGGGGCCACAGGGCATGGTTTGCCTTCATTTTAAAATCACAAGATCCACATCAGAATGTATCAAAGTTAGAATGGAGTTGGCTGTTACAGTAGTAAACTGGCTTTGAATTTTTTTTTTTTATAGATAATAGGATCATGGATTAAGGCGGGGCAGTGAATAGAGTGCCCAGCCTGGAGTCAGAAAGACTCATCTTCCTGAGTTCAAATCCAGCCTTAGACACTCACCACCCCCACTTGACTAGAGGGTCAGAAGAATTGATGTCCTAGTATAGCTGACATTGGGCAGTATCTGCATCCAAAGCCAGTGAAAAACTAGACATATTGAGGAAAGACATCTTGGAGGATTCTACAAAGAACCCAGCAGAAAAGCCATACCATCCCAAAGGGAAATATATTGAGGACTCACTCCATCAAAAAGACTTTCTTTACCCTCTTGACCAAAAGTGCTCTGAGCTCAAGTCCACTTTCTCTGTGTATACTTGTGGTGAAGTGTGTCACAGATCTGAAGGGGGATGTTGTGTACCAACTGTTTTCACCGTATCCCATGTTAGTAAATACGCCTTTATAAAAGCTAATTCTGAATAAGTAATTGACAGCACACCGGTGGGGCACTCACAAGCTATAGTACCAGAAATACTACCCCTAATCCCTCAGGGCTATCCCTAGAACTCTGCAGAGTCATAGTAGCTGCACTTTGGGGGTTCAGTCTGCTAAAGTGAGTGAGGCCTGGGAGAGTACTGATACAGAAATTAACCATATTTTGTGTTACATTAATTGATTTTGCTGATTTTTCTTCTCTTCCTCTTAAGAAAAAAAAAAAAAACCCAGCTCTCTCAGGAACAGGAAGGGGGAAGATATAGGGATAGATCTGGGTGATGTAAAAACAAAAGATAGCCATAAAAATCTATTTAAATATAAATGCTTGTGGTGAAGGATAGAATAGAATAGATTTCCTGTTCTCTGACTACAGAGTCCAAAGTTCCAAAATGGAGGCTCCAGTCTTCTGCCTGGTCTTAATGACTTAAAAACAACTGACCACATAATCAAGCAGAGCAGGATGTGAACAAAGAGTCCCTGACACCTTCACCTGCTAAGTTCCTTGGGAAACAGGGTCTCTCAAAGCAATCAACAACAGTATACAGTATATCTGATTGCTTTCTAGTGTTATCATTTTGTACCACCAGGTGGCAGCAGTGGGAAGGGGCCCAGCCCCTTTCAAGCCCATAACATTTGCTGGTGATAAACCGGGGCCCCAAGACTCTCACATAGTGATGTGATGCATAAAAGGTTCAAAAGACATATTTTCTGGGAAATTAATCATTTTATTAATAATGCTAACATTTTATTAATAAAAAGGATGGTCATTTGGCTGTCTCTCTCTTGGACCAAAGACGAATCATGGCAGTGGGCCCAGTTTATATGCCCTGGGAAGAGTGGGTGTTCCTGAGGCTAGTGATCAACTCTGGTTGGTTAACAGTTGATGAGAAGAATGAATATTACAATGAGAGATGGAACCATTCTAACGAAGGGCTGGGGGATGGAACTTTATGTCAGTTCTAAATAGCCCAGCTTTGGGCAATCTAATCAAAGAATGTATCCCCACCCAAACAGGAGTAGAACACAAAGGACAGGAATTCACTTGGATAAGAAGGTCTAAGTAGGGTAGATTTTTGGCAGAGGTCAGTAAGGTCCTTCAAAAGCTGGGCTTTGAACAAGGAAATAGGACAAAGAAAAAGCTTGGATAAACCCCATAATTGGTTCTTAATAATCATTTCTCTCGGTGAATTGGTGGAACTGGTTTGAAAGGAGGGAGGGAGGGAGGGAGGGAGGGAAGGAAGGAAGGAAAAAAGGAAGGAAGGAAGGAAGGAGGAAAGGAAAGAGAAAGAAGGAAGGAAAGGAGGAAGGGAGAGAGGATTGTCATGAAATAAAAATACACAGAAGCAAGACTGTGCAACAGGGAACATAGGGAATGTTGTTAGTACAATTTTAAATTTAATATGTACTTCAAGAACCATATATATGTATTTCAGTTCCATATATAAATTCTCTTTTCTGTTCATTGTATATAGAAATGTTCAAGTCTATTGGTGCTTGTTAAGTTTATAATGTGGAAAAAAAAAAAAGAGGGCTGTGAAAAGTCCCTGCCTTACTTTTTGGACCCGTCTCCTCGATCACCAGAGCGATGGTGATGGAGGCTGCGTTGAGATGCCAGTGGCGGGGACCATGTGCCTCTGCTCACCTTCTCCTTGGCAGGTCCAAACCTGGTTTCCTGCCCACTTTCTTCTGCCTTTCTCTTTCCTTTTCTGAGCCCACACCAGTGACCAGCTGTTCTGGTAAATGGAAGTTTCCCTCCCGCCCCTTCCTAACCCCTTGGTGAGTCTGAGAGTTTGGAATTTGGGCCTCAGTGGAGCAAATAAGAAAGGATTGGAGGAGATGGTGGGGGACAGTGGGAGGATTGAAACTGGACTGAGTCAGAAATCTGGATACCAATCCTGGCTCTTTCCATTTACTACAAGTGTGGCCTTGCGAAGTCTCTCCTCCCTGGGCCTCACTTTCCTCATCTATTAAATGAAGGATTTTCTGAGGCACCAAGGTGGAGAAGTACATTGAAAACTGGTCCTGGAGTCAGGAAGACCTGAGTTCAAATCCAGCCTCAGACGCTTACTAGCTGTGTGACCTTAGGCAAGACCAGGGATGGGGAACCTGCAGCCCCAGGCCACATGTGGCCTTCTAGGTCCTCAATTGCAGCCCTTTGACTGAATTTAAACTTCACAGAACAAATCCCCCTTAATAAAAGGCTTTGTTCTATAAAACTTGGACTTGGTCAAAAGGCTGCACTCCCAGGGTTGCCGTGAGGATCAAATGAGATAATACTTGGAAAGCCCCTAGCATAGCTACTGGCACATAGTAGGTACTATAAAAAGGGTAGCTATTTTTTAGTTATTATTCATATCACTGCTAAGCCCACCTTTTATGGAAATAAAAAGCCCAGGGATGGTAAAAAACTTTCATCTTGCTGGCCAAATCTATAGGCAGCTAGTGGTCTCCTGAGGGCCCAACACTGTCAGGACCACTTGTCCTGGAATAAGGAAGCAGAAGCCTGGGTTGGAGTAGTTTCCACCCGTTATTAGCCATAGTTCTGGGCAGCAGCAGTACAGAGGTCAACCATATGGTTTTGTTTGGGTCAAGCCCAAAATCTCAGTTCTGGTTGACTTTTGTGCTGGGTCAATTTCTAAATGCCCCATGAAAGATGGTGTTCTGGTTTTGAGACAGGGAGAGGATTGGCTGCCTCAGTGGATTTGGGCCAGCTGTGAGCACGAGTGGAAAAACAGATATTTTATGAACCGAATGTTCTAAAACAGAGTCTCCAGGAGGACAAACGACCACAAGATCAGCCAGGCCAGGACGTGAGTGAGGAGCTCTGACCTTCCCCTCACCTGCTCACGTCTCATCCACAATGAGGGAAGCAATGTGGTGCCATGAGTTTTTAGTGTGACCTTGTGTGACCTTGACAAGCTGACCTCTCTGGGCCTGACTTCCTGACTTCCTGGGCAAGATGACCTCGAAGGTCCTATCCAGTTCTAAATCTTAGGATATTAGGATCTTGGGCCCTCCCACAAGGTCTGGCCCCTGCCCCCACATATACACGAGTGCCTCTTTGTTGAGTGTATGTGGTTATCTGCCAGGCAGAGGAGGGCATCTTCCTTTCCCTGCCGGGCAGGCCGTGGCCCACAGCTCTGGAGGAGCCCCAGCGAAGGCATTGAGTTGTAATAGAAAGGGCCGGGCCCATCCTTGCTGGGTGACCTTGGACTGCTCCTCTCTGGGCCTGAGTGTCCTCCTCGGTAAAGCGAGTGATAATTGGACTCAATTATTAATGAATGAATAAATGAATGATGAAGTGTGCTGCCTGCCACCTGATAGAGAGGTGACGGGCTCCAGAAGAGGGTGAATATTTTTGGACACGGCCAATAGAAGAATTCAGCCTGCCTGACTAAGCTTATTTGTCACAAGGGTTTGTTTTTTGTTTTTTATTTTTTTTAAATGGGGAAAGGTGGGAAAGAGATGACATAAATGCTTGTTAATTAAAATAATAAAAAAGAAAAGGCATCTATTAAGTGTTTACTATGGGACAAGCATTTTGCTGAAGGCTGGGTGGACCTTGCTCTCAAAAAGCTGCAATCTTAAGGGGGGCTCGTTGGGAGGAAGAGGCCGCACAGAAGAGGGCTGTGGGAAGGCCAAGCAGTCTTCGGAATATATCAAACGGGTAGGGGACGAGGCCGGGGGTCCTTGGGTTAGGGTCAGAGGTGAGAGGACAGGGCCCCCTCATCTCTCCTCCTTCTCCACAGTCGTACCACATTGCCTCGTCCTGAACCATCTGCTATTTGTCTCTCTGGTCTTCTTGACCAGATTATGACCTTCCTGAGGGCAGGGCAGACCACCAGGCACTTGCTTATTCCTTAGTGGCAAGGCAGGACTAGAAACCAGGTCTCCAGAACTCTTCCTACAGAACATTCCGAGCCTAAGGGCCCGGGCCTACAAGGGGGCAAAGACCCTACTGTGAGGGCTCACGGTGCATCCTGGGGGTCCAGGAATGGAGGAAGACGAGAGCCGAGCAAGAAGGGACTTTCCAGGGCATCCCGGCTAAACCAGATGGAGGTGTCCGGAAGTTTCTCTCTCTGTCTCCTCTCCCTCCCCTCGTTCTGTCTCTCATCTTTGTCTCTGTCTCTCTTCTACTTTGCTGTCTCGGTCTCCCTTTTTTTAGGTCTTCCCCTTTCTGTTTCTGTCTCTTCCCCGCTTCTCTACGTCTCTCTCCCCAGAGACTCTATTTTTGTCTCTGCTCTGTCCCTCTCTGGGGTCTGCTTCATATTTCTTGGCCTCTGAATGTCTCCCCCTTCCGACGCCTCCGTGTCTCTGCGCTCGTTCATCTCCCCGCTAGCCGGTCCAGTGGAGGGGCGGATGTTTGAGGGGAGTGATTCAGAAAGTGACAGGAAGCCAGCAGCCTGCCTGCCATCCTTCTGTGTTGGTGACAACAGAGAGAGCAGAGAACCGGAGAGCGATGGGCCTCCCGGAGTGAAGGCAGCTGGCAGGCTCCTAGGTAAGTGCTCCCCAGGAGAGAGAGGGGGGCCCGCAGGGGCTGGGGGGCTCACCGCAGCAGCAGGGCCTTCCCAGGGCCTTGCAGACTCCCGGCTCTTCTCCCAGGGGCGAGGGGGAGATGGGAGGCATTAGTAAGGCAGGGCTGGGGTGCCAGGGCTGCCAGGAGCCACCCAGACGCCTGCCTCAACACTGCTCTCTAAAGGAGCCTCCATACTTATTGGAAACAGTGCCCAAAGCAGCTCCTACCCAGGGGCAGCAGGCAGGAATGGAAGAGCCTTCTCAGGCACCATCCTGCTCCACTGTGGATCAGCCCTGCTAGGGGGGCAAAAGCAGGGGATGGCCCAGCATGGGAGGTTCAGACCCTGCTCCCTCTGTGTAACCTTGGGCAAATCACTTACCCAGGTGTGCCTCAGTCTTATAGTCTGTAAAAGGAGCAGGGTTGTACCCAGCAGCGCCCAAGGCCAGTCAGAGCTCAGAAATGCTGTGCTTCTATCTAGCCATAAACCCATTCTCTTCTAGGCGGGGGCACAAAGACAAAAATAAAAGAGGCCCTGCCCTCAGGGGGCTTACATTCTATCCGGAGAGATAGTATTCGAATAGCTCAGGGTAGGGACTGGATCTGGAATTATGTTCATGTGACCAGTGCAAGTCAGCGTTCTCTCCACAATTTAGGGGCTTAGAAAAGTGCCTGATTTGGCCTAAGGTCATAAGCCAGATGGATCAGATAAAGCCTAATGTAAGAGGTCATGTTTCTAGCCGATCTCTGAAGGAAATTAAGGATTCCGAGAGGCAGAGATGAGGTAGGAACATGATCGGGATGGGAGATGGTCAGTTCAGAGTCCCAGAGGAAGGAGATGAGGGGCATGAGTGAGGCTAGCTTGGCTGGACCATGGAGTGTGGGATTCAAGTGTGTAAGTCTGGACAAGTAGGCTGGAGCCATCTTGTAAAGGGCTTTAAATGCCAAGCACAGTTTATACTTGATCCCATGGGTAATAGGAAACCACTGGAGTCTGTTGAGCTGGGCAGTGACATGGTCAGATTTACACTTTAAGGAAGTCATTTTGGTGGCTGTGAAGAAAAAGGCAAGAGTTGAGTGAAGGAGACCAGTCAGGAGGTCATTACCAGAACCCAAATGAGAGGGGAGGTGAAGGCTCTGGACCCCAGGCTAGTAGAGAGGAGATAGAAGCTGGGGAAATAGAACTGGCAAAATTTGTTAACTAATTGGGTCTGGGGGTGGTGAGAGAGATAGAGGAGTAAAGGATAACTCCAAGGTAACAAACAGGGTGACCAGGAAGATGGTGGTGCCCTCCAGGAAGAAGATCCACCTACCCTTGTCTGCCATTTTATCTGGCACGAAGCCCCATGAGGCTTATCTTGGAGTTCTCAGATCTCTGTCGTGAGAATTTAGGGCAGAGTTTGAGTGAAATGCGTGCCAGGACACTAAGGTGGGTGAGGCTGGTTTACTGATACTCATAGCCAAGCGTAGGAAGGGAAGGTACTGAAAGATACAGTCAGGATATGCCGGAGGCAGCTCCAACCAGCTAGCAAGTGCTCAGATCAGGGCAGGATTTATCATTTTGTTGATTGTTGAGATAGCAGGTGGGGAACCTGCAGCCTGGAGGCCACATGTGGCCATCTAGGTCCTCACTTGAGGATCCCTGTAACCCCTGTTCCCTACCCCTGTATCTAGACTTAAAGAAGTGATGGAGAAAATGTGGATAACACAGGTTATATTTTAAATTGTGTTGTGGGCATTTTTTTTTTCTCTTTCTCAGAGTACTGGCAGTTAAACATTTACCAGGGACACAGTTGCATGCAGGCTCTCTTACCCCTACTGTCCTATGGGGCACCATACAGTGGGGGAGGGGAGGGGGCCCAGTGCGATGTGCTCTCTCGTCAAAGACCTAGAACCCAGGCTTAGAGTTTTCAGATCCAGGGACTGCTGTGGCAGTTGTCACGTCACCAGTGGGGTCAGGAAGTCTCTGAAAAAGAGGGAAGGTCTCTAAAAATGACCCAGGGGGCCTCCTCTGGATAAGGAACATGAAATTATAAGTAGGCTGCATCAGTAAACTCACTGGAGATTCTGAGCAGACTTGGAATCTGATCAGACTTGAGAACCCAGAAACCCCTCCATGCCACAGTGAGGAGATGGAGGGAGGGAGGGACGGACGCATCAAATGGAGTCAGTCAGAGGCCCTAAACCTGCCAAAAGGATTAGAATTCAGGCGGCAGCCGCATCTAACCAGAATCGTAGGCAGTGGGAGCCTGGGGTGAACCAGAGACAGCCTTTGGACGGTGGGGCCAGACTCCTCCTGCAGGTTACGTGTATTGTGGAACCTTTTCTTCATTCATCCTTTTGAAGGCCGGCCATAGCTATTGAGTGAGTCTACTGGGGAAATTAGTTTAACCACCAAGTAGCTGGAAGCAATTTCAGTAGTTAGCACTCTTATCAATGTGATGAGTGAAAAAGGCTAGATAAGGGGACCAGGTCCAGAGTTCCAATTCTTACAGCACTGGTTTAGAAAAGAAAAAAAAAAAGAGAGAGAGACGATCCTATCTAGTGTTTTCATAGGTGGTTATTGCCTTAGTTCAGATGTTCAGTTGTGTTTGACTCTTTGTGACCCCACAGACTGTAGCACGCCAGGCCATACTAGCCTCCGCCATCATAGGACCCAACAGCCCTGGGGAAAAGGTGGCATGAGTAGAATTACCCTCAGGTAGATGAAGAAACTGAGGCTCTGAGAGATGAAGACCCACAGTTACACAGCTAGTCAGGGTCAGGCTGAGCTCACCTGTATCAGGGAGAACGTGCTCCTTGCAAGATTTGGAAGCCCCAGCACTGGGCTGTGCACAGTAGGTACTTAATATTTGACTAAATCTATAATCTGCTGACAGCATTAGTGAATTTGTTAGACATGCAAAAACCCTCTAGCTTTCAAGGTAGACAGGACCTCAGAGGTTACCTATCCAGTTCCTTCGTTTTTCAGAGAACGAAACAGAGACACCAAGTGACTTAGTGACAGTAAGTGGCACAGTGCCAAATTTCGAACCCAGGACCTCTGACCACATTTGATGTCTCCCGCTATCCATCTCCTCACTATGGCACAGAGGGGTTTCTGGGTTCTCAAAGCAGAGCAGGAGCTCTGTCAGATCCCACTAAACCAAAAGGTTTAGAATTCAGGCTCGGCCAGCTGACGTCCAGGCCAGACAGATGTCAAGGGCTTTACTCTGAGGTGCCATCTTAGCTGTGGAAGAGAATGCAATCTACTTCTCTAAACGGAGTTTGTATTCACGCTAATGAAAGTATAGCTGCTTAAATCACCAAAGTATTGAAAACAACATAAACATATGACATTATGCCATATTGCCCGGCTTGACTCAATCAATAAAAGGTTATTAAGCACTCGCTACGGACCAGGCACTGTGCTGAGTGCTGGGGATACCAAAAGAGGCGAAAGACGGTCCCTGCCCTCAAGAAGCTTACAGTCTAATGGGAGAGACAACCTGGAAACAAAAATGCAGCTAAATATAAGATTTAAGAAAAGAAAGCTACATGTTTTTTGTTTTGTTTTGTTTTGTTTTTTAGGCAGTTGGGGTTAAGTGACTTGCCCAGGGTCACACAGAAGAAAGCTCTATGTTAAAGAAAGCCCACAGGATTAAATGGGAGATAATTAATAGAGAAAAGGCAGTTTTTTTTAAGCATTAAGAGGGGCTGGGAAGATTCCGTGGGATTTTAGTTGAAATTAAAAGGAAGCCAGGGAGGTCAGTATGTAGATGGGAGGAAGGAGAACATTTCAGGGAGGGGGGACAGACAGAAAAAACACCCAGAGCTAAGAGATGAAGGGTCCTGTTTGTAGAACAGCAGGGAGACCAGAGTCACTGGATTGGAGAGTATGTGTTAGAGAGTAAGGGGTGAGAAGACTGCGAAGGTAGGAGGGGGCTGGGTTATGAGGGCCTTTGAAAAAGGGCAACCCAATCAGACCCTACAAAGGTAGCCAGTCAGCCTTCAATAATTCTCAGATCTACCTTTCCTGCCCCAGTCTCTTTGCTGAACTCCAGTCTTGCATCTCCAGCTGCCATTCAGACATCTGGAACTGGAAGTCCAGTAGACATTTTAAACTCGCCATGTCCAAAACAGACCTCATGATCTTTCCTCCCAAACCCTCCCCCTCCTACCTTCTTTATCACTGTTGTGGGCAGCAACATCCTCCAGTGCTCCTGGACTCTTCACTATCTCTCACCCCCCACATCCAAGCTGTGGCCAAGGCCTGTCCACTTCCCCTTTGCAGCCCTCTCCAATACACCCCTCTCTCCTCTGACTGCGCCACCCCTCTGGTGCAGACCTTCATCATCTCATGCCTGGACTAGTGCAATAGCAGCTGAGGAGGCTGCCTGCCTCAGGCCTCTCCCACTGCACTCCATCCTCCCTCCAGCCACTAATGTGATTTTCCTAAAGCTCAGGTCCAACAGTGTCATCCCCTTACTCAGGAAACTCCAGGGTTCCCTATTGCCCTCAGGATCCAATACAAAGTGCCCTGTTTGATATTCAAAGCCCTTCATAACCCGGCCCCCTCCTACCTTTCCAGTCTTCTTACATCTTACTCCCCAACATGTCCTCTTTGATCCAGTGACTCTGGCCTCCTGGCTGTTCCAAAAACAAGACCCTCCATCCCTTGGCTCCTGGCCTTCTCTTTGGCTTGGATTCCATGCCTGGAATGCTCTCCCTCTACTTCACGGCTTCCTTCAAGTCCCACCTAAAATTACATCTTCTCTAGGAAGCCTTCCCCAACCCCTCCTAATTTCAATGTCTTCCCTCTTTTTAATTACTTCTTCTTTTAATTACTTCTAATTACTTTCTATTTATCTCGTATATAGCTTGACTGTATGTATTTTTTGTTTGTTATATCCCCCATTAGATTGTAAGCTCCTTGAGGGCAGGGACTGTCTTCTGCCCTTTTTTGTATTTTCAGAGCTTAGCATAGTTCCTGGCACACAGTAGGC